AAGTAACAGCTGCCTTCTTTCAGGTCCTCACAGGGTCCTCAGTTGTGGAATATTTATAAACAAAAGCTTCACAATATTTCAATCCCATAGTTAACTTTACTTCTGAATACTGGCTCTTCTGTGAACTGAAAGGCCCTAAAATGACAGGATTCAAAGGAATGTGATAGGCATAACAGTGATCTAAGTTAAACACGTAAAGTGAAATGCTTCTCCCAGTCTTTGGTCACCTCTTAAAACCATTTCCTCCACTATAACACTTAAAAAAAAATGGTGCTGGGGATGAAACAGGGCTTCTAGCATGCCAGACAAGTGCTCTACCACTGAACTATACCTCCAGTCCCTTACCTTTACATCATACACCTTGTGAGGCTTCAGAAATGGTTGCATGCTTCGTAAATGAGCAAAAAGGGCTTATGTGCATGTCTGCTTGTGTACACACAGACAGGTGCAGCAGTAGACCAAACCAAAAGCAAGGGTAAGATCCTATGGGACCAGGAGCTCCATCCTGAAGGCTATGGAAAACTTTTGATGAGTTTTATTCAGGGGAGAAAGTAGTTCCAAATTACTATTATTTTTACGATCATACCCTCAGGGGTTCTACTGAGTATGGATTTAAAGATGACAAGACTAACCACTAAGAAATCAGGTAAGGAGCCAGTGTTGTATCTTACTCAAAGTGGATAACTGACACAGGGGAGTAGAACTGGTAGAGGAATTTGTAGTGGTGGGAAAACAGTGTAAAATGTTAAGTAGACTGAGAGAATTGATCATTGCTGTGTTAGTCTGTTGCAACGGGCACAGTAAAGTATTTTACAGGGGCTAAATAATAAACATAAATTAACTGCCCACATTTAGAAGGCCAAGAAGTTCAAAGTTAAGACACTGGCAGATGCCTGGAGAGGGCCCATTCCTCGTGGGTGACACCCTCCTATGTGCACCCCCATAGTTGAAGGACAAAAATCTAAACTCCTAGGGGACAAACTCCCCTAGGCCTCAATGAAGGTAGAATCCTTATGATGGAATTACTTTCCAAACACACTTGGAATTAGATGTCAATATATGGATTTTAGAGAGACACAAATATTCTGACCATAACTATTGTGGAGGCTAAGAAAACAGGGTTAAAAATGACCTCTGGATTTGTGGCCTGATACTTTCATAGCCCTATAGATCCATAATGTATCTCCTCAAATCTCTGCAGCCAAATATGTTTCAAAATTCTGAATTTTACTTGATGTCAGAAAGGTGATGTGGTTCACATAGCTAATGTAACACTATTCTCCAGCAAGGCCTAGGGCAGCATTATGTAATCAAACTCAGCACTATTTCTGTAGCAAGATACAGCCTACCAGTGGGATAGATGACATTTTCCTGACAGTTCACTCTTGCTTTGCTCCAGATAAGTTCAAGTTTTGCTAACAAATGAGTCACATAATTTTTATAGATAAGACATGGTAAAAAAATTATATAGCTACAGACAGACTCCAGGAAGTGAAACCTTTTATCTGTGCTGTCATGAAGGTCCTGGTTTACACACATGCAATCTCCAGTTAGTAAGATAAATTAAAGACACCCAGTAGGCAATCATATAGATAAATTAGTTTGCACAGTTGAAATTGAAGCAAGTGTAGGGTAAAGGTATACTCAGGGAAATATTCTATTTAGTGTCAGAAACACAAGTCTAATCTGGAGACCAACTCAAGGAGGTTTCATCTAACTGTCAGCAGTCACTAATGGCCTAGAATTCAGAGTCCTACTTGTCTTTCCTTTTCCATAAATTAATGCACTTTGGTCTCTTGCCATTGCTAGAATTGATTTGAATTCAATGTTGCCATTGACAGTACATTAATTATGTTACAATTACCCAAATTATATAATACTAATTATCTTGATATTAACCAGATGCATAATTAGATAGGTAATTGAAAATGCCTCCTTCTCAATCAGCTTTTAGACCCATAAATGATCCCTTATTCCAAATATATTTCTATCCTTTATGGACCAGGGAGATGAATATACTTGATTCGGGTATTAATCATTCCCAAAATATTAAATGCAGCAATAATTTCTTTAGAGAAAAGTTCCTTCCACTAAGAATGTGAAGGTGGGCTAAACTTAAAAGCGTCTATGAAAAGCTTAATTATCCAATCATATCTTCTAAGACTACATCCCTACAAGTCACTTAGGCATCTAATTTCTTAATCTAGTCTTTTATAAGAGATGAGGTGATTCCTGTAATTCATCTCTTATATCTGTTTCATAATAAAAGATTAAAATATTAACAGAATATGAAAAAGTAATAAATTTGGCCATGTTTTCCTTAGTAATTTTTTATAATTCCCATAGAACCATAACTCATCTATAAAGCTGAGAATAAAAATAGAATGTGGGAGAGTGATAGAATTATTTTTCTCTCTCAAACTTTCAGTTGATGATTGTTATCAAAATCCCCTCACAAAAACATGTTTGCTTGCTTTCTTTTCCCAAAAAGTCCTACAGCATGCTGAGAATCTATTTGAAATGCAGTAATGTACAATGAGACTTCATGTAACTCCTGATGCTTGAAAGATTTAATCTAGTACCAATGTGCTAGAGCTGCAAGCCCCATCCCCAATCAAATGCTTAAACAGGATTGCAATATGACTTTATGAAACTTTTACTTTCTTGTGAGAGGAAAAGTAAGTTTGCAGAAAAATGGGTCTTAAAAGCTACATTCAACAGGAAAGCACCATATTGTATATAGTTTTGTGAAACTTGTTTCATTTTGTGTATGGACACTAGTGTGTACTGAGATGAAACACAGAATGTATTTTTTTAAACTGAGGTTTGTGGGTTTAAAAATTGTTTTTAAAATGTTGGTATTAAGGAAATGTGCTTGAAACCAAAAGTCTAGATTATTGCCACTGAATGGAAGACATTGAGTCTATGCCTTATAAAACATATTTTAAGCCAAAATAATAAAAGATCAGAAGAACAACTAATGTTCAAAGTGGATCAAAAGTTAGCTGTCACTCTGAAATACCAAAAGGCAATACAAATTTCAGTCCACATGGCACCTTCAAAATATATGTGAGATTCATAAGCAGAGGAGAGCATGTCACCAAGTCTCCAGGGAGCAAGGTGGAATTGAGCAAAGCAACGTGGGACAGAGAACAACCGACTGTTCTGTAATTACAAAACCCTTACAAACTACATGAAAGAAGAAAAGATAGACATCTTATGATAAGTGAGACCGTGGGTGGTGAAATGTAATGATACAGGAGCCCATGAGTCAAGCCACAAGAATAATACTACTTCTAGTGTCTGCAGGATGAACTCAGGGAGAGCACCCAACTTCAGCTTACAGCACACTGGATGGCTTGACCAGGTAGCAATGCAAGGAGGAGAGCCTGAAGATGCTACAGCTAGAAGATGCCCGTTATTACAGCTAACAAGAGCATGCTACATTCATTCCTAAAGGTGAGATAGTCTGCTAACACCTACCAAATATCCAGTGAAAATTCATATTCAAACCTTAGGAAGCAAAACTTGTTTGGTTTTCCAATAGTATTCAGCACATTAATGTCTCAGTGTGGAGACAAGATTAAGAGGGTAAGTGAGGCTCTTTTGTAAAAAGCAGAAAATTTGGTTGAATTAACAATTAGGATCTGTTGTGCTGTGGGTTTTTCTTTTTCTTTTTAGATTTTAATTGCACCATCTTTTACAAGCTGTATGTATAGACCAAAGCATTTAAGTTAAATGAGAAATTTAAGCACATATTTTAAAAATTAGCAAAGACAGAACACAGAGTGGAACTGATATTATTTAAAAATCCTCTGTAAAACTGTTGGTTAACGCAGTGTAAAAAGAAAGACGCTTGGTATAAATAAACAGCTCAGAATCTTCCAACTAACGTGTATGTTAGATGTCAGTTAACAGTAAAGGTTAAATTTAAAGGAATATAATTGTAGGATGTGGCTTTATTCCTATATCATAGCCACAAACTTAAGGAAAAGTTATACAATAAAAACACAGCTTTTCACACAACCAGAAATTCTCACATTCAAATGTTGTAACTTTCTGATTTTTAACAACAGAATTTGAGTTCTTCTATATTGTTATAATTCAGTAATATGTTCTTTTTAAAAAAAAAAATCAGAAAAAAAGGGTAACTTGATGGAGTTCCTAAAACAAAAGGGAGGAATTAAGTCTAAGGTAAGTAGAGTTTCACCCTCAATTCTCAGGCTTCTGAAAAACCTAATTAGGCAGAGAGGAATTTGGGCCTGGCACTTTCAGGTTCAGACGTGGCAGGATCCTGAAACAAAGTTTTTTTTTTTTTTGAACCTTTGAGTCATGCCACAGGCACAACCAGATCCTGGATACACAGGTCCTTAAGTCAACAGGTCCTCTAAAGAGGATGGTGTGTGGTTGGTGGGTGGCAGCTCTATTTCCTCCTGCCACGGAGACCTGGGCTCTTCCATCTCAAACCGGAAAGTGGATGCAGCTCTGCTCAGGAGAGTGCACCCGGAAAAGTGCAGGGCTCCGAGCGCGGGATGTCCGCGTCGCGACCACAGAGCGCCTTCCAAAACAGTCAGAAACCATCGAGATGGCTCGGTTGGCCGCGGTTTGCAGCCTCGCACGGTCTGGGGTCAGACGGGGAAAGTTGCCTGGCACAGCTCTGGCTTTCCGTCCTAGTTCTACTCGGGAGCACTGGGGAGGGGGACTGGCAACCTGCTCGCCCAAGTTGGCGAGCCGCGCCCGGCTCGGTCCGCAGCCTAAACTAGAGACCCACTCTCCCGAGGACCAGCCCTGGCCGGCTGCCCGGGTCTGGATCCTCGGGCTGGAGCCTTGCCACCGGGGCTGCCCGGGGGCAACGGCGACGAAGGTGACCCCGGCCTCCCCCAAGGGGCAACTGAAACCGGCTCTCGAGACCGCGTCCACCGGCCGCGGGCAGCTCGGTGCCGGCCCCCGCGCATCCCCTGGCCCGGGCGGCGGCTCCCGGGGACTCAGCGCCCGCTTACCTGGCAGGTGGGCAGGGCAGGGCAGGGCGGGCAGTGGCGTCCGCCGGGCGCTGGCCGCAGACTGGGCGCCAGGTGCAGGTAGCGGCGGCGGCGACCCAGGTGGCGGTGGCTACACTTGCGCTGGCCGGGCTCCTCCGCCGCCGCCTCCAGCCTCCCGCCGGGCCTCCCGCGTTGCCGGGCGAGGCCGCAGCCAGGCTCAGCTTCCTCAGCTAGTCTCCCAGGTGAGCTCCCGCCGGCAACGTCGGCGGGGCGAGGCCGGCTCCTGCGCCTGCGCCAGCCCGGAGCCCCGCCCCTGCCTACCTGAGCGCTCCTGGAGAGCAGCCGGCCCAGCGCCGAGCAACTCCTCCGCAGCCGGAGTTCTGCCTAGAAGCCCCGCCGCATCCCGCGCTGCCACCACCTGGTACCCAGAGCCGGGCTCAGCCCACCCGGGATGCGCGTGCGACGCTTCCCCCACGCATCTCCCCTTCCTCTTCACCCAAACCCAGGGGATGCTGCGCCCCCAGGACCACTTCGGGAAGGCAACTGGGCCCCGCGTGGCTTCCCTGGCGGGGCTCAGCAGCTTGTCACCAGTTAGCTCCGAGAGCTTCCTTCCCCTGTCGTCTTGATTTCATCACTTGACTCACTTCAGCTCAGCTAGTGGTTTCCGTTTCTGGCCGCGGGCGCTGGGGTAGCTAAGCCTCACGTCCAAAGCAGGCGCCTCCCTCTTCCGAAGTAGAGCTTCTGGTGTTGGGTGAGCTTCCCCGATTTGGGGCGCACCTCCCCTTCCTGGGTAGCTATCGACTCAAGGCAAACCAATTCCCACAGGAGACTGGAAGCAGCGCCACCGAACCCTGCTGCTCTACTTTGGAAAGAGTTTGTGGTTTCCTGGAAAGGGCTTACGTCTCCTGGAGAGGCGTTCAGACTCTCACACGTATCGGCCAGGTGGGACCCTGCACTCTTAAGAACATGAAGGTTTTGCCAGTGTATTTAAGACACTCAAGCCGTATCCACCACCACCTTTTTCACTATTCCTTCCGTTTCTGTGACAATAGCACTTAAAACCAGGACTCAAAATTGCTTTTGTAACTTTGTGTGAACTTACTATTAAGGTGTGACCCAAAAGTACGGAGGGAAATGGAAAAAGACCTAAAAACACTTTGGGGTAGCATGTTTGATTACGTGGCCACAGGTTTTCCTAGAGCATTACTATAAGCCTTCCTCCCACATTTTGACACTCACACTGTTTATTTACTAGCTTATTTTATGTGTGACCTGGAAATGGGTTTGAAATAATCATTGCTACAGTATCAACAGGTGTTTGCTTTACTTGGCTAGTCTGCAACATTGGTTTTCGCATACTACTGTTGTATACGTCAACATTTACAATTGGATTTAAAACTTAAGAGCTAGCATGTTGTGATTGTTTTGCAAGCACGTCTGTGTTTGTGGCATGTTAGGATTACTTTCTAAAACCATTTTTTAAGCTCCTTCATCTTCTTACCTTCAAAGGGAAAAGTTAGAGGTACTTGTATATAGTGTCTAATACCATATTAGCTTCCTATTGTTTGTCCCTAGGGTCAGAGCTAAAAACATCAATTTCCTAAAATCCGTTTTGTTGCTTGGTTCTGCAACTCTATTTTGCCTCTTGGCCTTTAAATGGAGAGAGGTTAATATTCATCTTTGGGGAATTTGGGAGAACTCCTAAATGTATAATCGAAAAGTCTGTATCATTTGCTATGCACCACCAACTCCTGAATGAAGCAGGGGTGAAAAAATGTCATAATTTTGATGCCCCAAGTGAAGAGCAATAATTTCAGCTGATAAGGGCAGAGCCGGAGAAGATATATATATAGAATACTTATCTGGAATCAAAGGAATGAGAGGTGCAGTGGCATCTGGACTAGTAAAGTCAAAAAAAAAAAACAAAACAAAAAAAAAAAACGGAAAGAGACCACAGGGCTGACTTACCAAAAGAAAGTGCAAGGCAGTAGGTCCAAAGTTTTAGGAGGAGTGAACAGAAAACATGCCAAAGATGATCAGGAGTGACTGAAGGTTCACTGTCAGTTTTACAGTAGAGACAGATACTTAAGAAAGCAGTATCTCTGAATCTAGCATGACTTGTACAACTCGCACATCATTTGAACTTTTATTTCATATCATTCTGTAAGCAAAGTATTAAAATTAATAAAAGTTTTTCTGCTTCACAATAAAATTAAAATGCTGCAGGCCAAGAAAAATATTATTCTGAAATGTTTAATATCCTAAGTCTAATCAGATACAAGGATTTTAGAAATACCATTTATTTCAAAATTATGAAATGAAGCATTTGTTTCATAAAAGCAAAATTATAAAATAAAAGTCAGGACACTTAGTGTATACATTTATCTCTGAAACAAGCCTATTTAATAGTACATGTTTGGCATATAATTATAATTAAGTTAGGAAACTGGGCACATTGTACATGTAAGGAAGAGCCATAAACACCTCTTCCCTTCCCCAAACATGCATGTATGTTCAACCACACACAGCCAGCCTCAAAATGCTTGGTTGTGTGGGTTTGAAAATACTGTTTATTCATTTCTGCTAACATTTAAATTAGTGCCAAGATCAGTACCTGGCACTTAGTAGCTGTTCATAGATATATGATAAATGAATAAATTGCTTATCAGCTACAATGAAAAAAACCAGCATGTGCAGCATCTTGCCAAATTATAGGTACAAAGAATGGCTCAATACAACATATGGAAAAGTAACCTCAGGCTAATAAAAGTAGTAGGTTAATAATCCAAGATAAGAGTTACCAATTTTTCATGAAACTATGTTTCATAAAACAGGATGCAAAGCAACTTATATTCCTACAAGACACTTCCTTTCCACAAAATAAAATGGTAGTATGTGCAAAATTCTTTTATGGTCTAATTCTTCTAAATGCCATACCATAACAAGAACTGTCATGAAGAAGAAAAGAAAAAGAAAACCTCCTAGATATAACAAACAGTAAAGGATAGGGAAGAAGGAAATGAAATAATAAACATCAAAATTAAATGGGGAAAAATTAATTGTAAAATATTGTATAGTTTAATAAATAAAATTGTGCAAGTTCCCTAAGCCCATTTTGAGTTTAACTGTTTAATTGTTGGTTCTGTAAGACTTATTGACTTTAGTTTGAAACATATGCCCTGACTTAGACTTTAGAACAGTTTTGCCTCATGAGATTGTACTTAAGATCTCAAAGTCAAACTTAGAGATTTGGCTGAAAGACAGAACAGATTGAAGCAATTTCTACCAAAAGAAGCAAAAGAATTGAAATGTTATTGATTCAAAAAGGAGAACAGTGGTGGTACATCAGTGAGGTGCCACAAATATGTGAGCTTTTAAAAAAATATGTCAGTATAATCCTACATTGTGTTAGTCAAAACCATGAAAATGTAAGTAGATTATTCATGCTCAAACTTTCTGGACTTTATTTTTCTACTTTTTTTCCTTAAGGAAATTAACAGAATAGCCTTCCCAGATATTACAAAGAGATACTCACTTCTGTGAAGGAATTTATTGACTTAAATTGAGGCAGAACATTATCCTGTTAATTTTGCATCCTTGATGCTTGGCACATAGTAGGTGCTCAATAAATATTTGATGAAATGGATTGAACTGAGTGCTGAGTTCCAGGCTTTTAAGCATTGGCCTAAAAGCAAAAAGAAATGTCATGCTGAGTCAGATTAATATTCCATCTAACTAGCTCTGGATTGGTCTGTAGGAGGTATGTCTGTGTTTCTTTTCTTTTCTTTTTTTTTTTTTTTTTTTTTTTTTTTTTTTTTTTTTTGATTGTTGAGTGATATGGGAGGTTGCAGACCACTGTGGGTGGTGCCACCTCTAAGGAGGTGGGCTTGGGTGTTAAGAGTGCACACAGCAGGGAAGTGAGCCAGTAAGCAGTGTTTCTCCTTGGTCTGTATTTCCTTCAGTTCCTGCCTCCAGGTTCCTGCCCTGGGTTCTCTCAGTGATGAACTGTGATTGGGATATGTAAACCAAATAAACCCCTTACTCCCAAAGTTGGCTTTGGTGAGTGTTTTATAACAGCATAGAAAGCTAACTGAGGCAGTATCCAACAAGGCCTCTCTGGGTCTGGTGGTTAATTGTGATTGGCAACTTGATAGGATTTAGAATCACTATGGAAGCAAAGCTCTGGACATGTCTGTGAGGGATTTTCTAGATTGCTCAATTGAGATGAGAAGACCCACCCTAAATGTGAGCAGTACCATTCTATGGGATAGAGCCCTGGACTTAGGAATCAAAAGGGTAAATGTAGCCAAGAAATAGGTTCTCTGCTTCCTGTTCCTGCTGCAATACCTTTTTTCCATGACGGACTGTATCCCCTGGGACTGTAAGCCAAAATAAACGCTTCCTTCCTTCCTTCACTTGCTTTTGGTAGGTATTTTATCACAGCATCAAGACAAGTAACTAATACAGTAGCCTGCATTTTGTGTGAATTAGAAAATGTCACCAATAAGTGTTGTGGAACACTGTCTTCCAGGACAGATACTATCATTGCTGTTTTGAAATCAGGGTGGTTGTGATTACTCACACTAGAAACTCACAAGATTGGACCTATTAGCATTCCTGACCCTTCTCCTAGCTGCACATAGGCATGTAGTCTTGGGGAATGCTAAATTATGTAAGAAATGAAAGTTGACGTGAATTGGGGACTCTTTCAATGCAGTTAAATACTCATCCATGCTGCAGTGGGAACTTTTTATCAGGCACCTGCCCAAGAGTCATCTATGCTCCTGTAAGTAACCCCTCACTAACGCTTCTATTGGTAACCCAGCTATCATTGGTTTGCCAAGCTGGACTTGAAGTTGTTCCGTGGGTTTGTTGGTGTCTTAGCTGGGATGACCAGACACATCTGTATATATCCCCAAGAGAAGTCATGAAATACCATAAAGACAGTCTGTAGGTCCAGGACTTGGCAAGGGGGTGACCCCATTCTCCTACTGGAAATGAATCCACTTGGGTTCATCTGGCTGAATGGAAGCTGGGTTGCACTTCAGCTCTACTCTCTCTTCTTACAAGGTACATTTTCATAGAGCACATCCTACACAACCTGGTGTTCCATCAGGTGTCAACCCATCATCTTATAGCTAACTATCTTCACATAATCACCAGGATAAAAAAGTAGGAAACATGGCCCAGCCTACAACATTCCCTTGAATATGTATATGATTGACAAATGGCTACAGATTCCTCCTACT